ATATCATAAAAAAATATAAATGCTCAATTTTTATATTTAATATTTGAAAATGAATAGGTTTTAATAGAAATAATTTAAGCACACGTATTAAAATATAACTACTTAAAATGAACAGTATGAAATATATGAGTACAAATAGTAAATTAATATTATAAATTTTTTCATGTAATTCTAGTATTCTATATATGAGTACTAATAGTAAATTAATATTATAAATTTGTTCATATAATTCTAGTAATGCTAAACTAAAAACTTTAAAGTGTACGATTAACATAAGCTCTCCTTTTGTTGTGTTTGAGCTCTAGAATATGTTTGAACTTTATTGGCTCGCGTTGCGTATACGCCACGTATTGTCATGCGGAAATTGCAGAAGTCTGCAAACAAACTTCAGCACAGTCTGACATGTCTCTGTGTGCTAAAGAGTGTGTGTAAGTGTGTGTGTTTGCGTGCTAACGGAATTTTTGCCCGTCGACATTTTCTTAGACTAGCGCTTTACGCAACCGGAAGGCAATGTTGACAATATCCTGTTAAGCTGGCATTAACAAGTGCTCAGGCAACTGAATCGCACCGACTCGTTACTGCAATGTATATATAATTTAATTTAAGTCCCACAGACAGCTTGTGGAAATTGAGGTTGAAGTGCAGACGGCAATCGCCATTCGAGTTTCATTTAAAATCAACGCTACCAACTGTTAAAAGAATTAGTGCAGTTGTCCCCAGTTGAAATGGAAATCAATAAATTCAATTAAGCGAAGTATTGTTTGGCGACTTGCATAAATAATGCCTGAATGTCACTTTAAATGTGTGAATATATATACATATGTATGTATAAGCATATGCTGTTTCTTTTTACTTCAATATTGTTTCTTTCTCAGGTTCATAAAATCTTTCTCATAAACGAAATTCCAATTAGCTAATGAAATAAACTTTTGCTTTTGTTGGCTTAATAAAGCATTGAATCAACTTTATGTTGATTGATTAATTGATTAACGGGAAAAAGATAGCGTCTATGTGAGTAAGTATGTAACAAATGTCGCTTGACCGAATGCTACTTGAAAGAAATGCCACATCAAATATTAACCATACGTAACGTGTGACGAATCAAATTGTTCGTGTCTTTGTATGTGAGCGCGTCTTTATATACGTGTGTCTCATTGGCTGAGTGTGTGAGCTTGCCTGTGTTTTTGTGTGTGTGCGATATGCCGGCACCAGTGATAAAAACCAAAACAGAGCGACAGACGGCCAGCGTTCTCAGCAGTTGGCTCTCACACTCTCTCACACGCTCTCCTGTTGCGTGCGCTCAGCAACATTTGAGACAAGGTCGGCAACATTTGGCTTGTTGCTTCGCATCAAGCATATGCAACAAGAGAGCGTTGAAACTGTTTACCTGTATCTGCGTAAGTCACTGTAAGAAATGGGGTGAGATTATTAAGGCTTCTAAGAAAAGCTTTACTTTTTTAATAAATATTCATAGTATAAATATTTAGACTAAATACAGTTAAGTAACAATAATTGCTACAAATATAATAGCCAACTGTCTTGTACTCACAGCTTGTGTACAGTGTATTTATTAAACGATTGCAGACGCACGATTGCCGGAAGCCTTCGGCTCGTGTTGATGTGAGCGCACGACAACACTGGCTGCTCCGTTTGACAGCCACTGCCACTGCCTGTTGGACATTGCTCGATTCTGATTAGAATGTGCGCTCAGTTCTGATTAGACCGTGAGGGCGTGCGGTTCACATTTCGCGTTTTCGTTCGCGTTCTCGTTGCTCATTTCGCGATTTCGATTTCGATCTGTTTTTGATTTCGCGCGTTTGTGCGAGCGCCCGCGTATGCGAGTGTTGGTGTGTGTGTTACGTATGGGTGTCTGTCTCTGTATGTGTGTATATGTGATTTAATTTAACAACGCACGCTGCTAAGCATAACATACACATATGCATCTATATATATATATATAAATATATATTGATATAAATAATTAAGCTATATATTCAAATACACATGTGAAATTTGTTTAAATTGCCAACACCAAAAAATAAAACTAAACCACAAAAACAGCAACGACAACAATAGAGGAGCTGCAGCCGTTTCCAATCATTTAGGTAGTGTATCTGTTTTTTCACACAATGAGAAGTTTTGATTAACGCAAGAACTTGAGAAAACAACAAGCAAAATGCAGGCGAGCCGGCGAAATCGGCGCCAACTAATTGCAAAGTTCAATAGCAACTGAAATTAAGCTAAAATAGAACACACAACAAAAGGTAAAAGAGAATGAAAAAAAGTTGAAACAAAACAAAGAGACCAAATCAAGTTTAAACGCCTTTTGAAAGCCCTCCGATAACCGCTAATCGGCTTTGATTTCAGATTTCTATAATTAATTTTATGAACTAATTCAAAGCACCCGAAGGCTGTTTTCTTTTCTTGTACTCGGACCAAATTGTATAAAATTAAATATATTTATATTTGTATGTATGAATATGCATATATATCTACGTATGCACAAATGAAAAGTTTAAAAAATAAGCAATAAAAAATTGTGTGCTGCTCTCGATTTGTCAGCTGTTGGCGACACGTTGCGTCAGTTTTTTTTTATTTATTTATTTTTTTTTTTGTATATGTTTTCACATGCTTTTTGTTGCTATTTTGCACTTTTTTTTCGTTATTTGTGCGGCGGGACGAGTGTGCGGTGAGTGTGTGTGTGTGATGGTGTGATGAAAGAAATGATATAAAGGCGGCACAAATAAATTTAGTTTGCGACTAGTAGAGATATTTTGCCGGTTCGACTATATGCATAACTATCTCGACAATTTGTGGGTGGCATTGACTTTGGCATGATTATAATTATCATAAATATTAGCATTAAAAACTTGAGTTTTGCGTATTTTGTCTTTCCGTAGAGGTCAAAAAGAATTTATTTATTTATACTATGTACTATATACGTTCTGATTGTTAAACTAAAATATATTTATATAAATTGATATATCCCTGCTATGCACATTTAGTTATCTAACAGCATTGCCAAACTTTTCCAATTAAAATGAATTCCAATTTGAATGCAAAGTTTCTACAACTTAACAGTAATCGGATCGTTAGCAGAAAATCAAAGATTTATCATATAATTCCCACTGCAAAGGGTACAAAAATACCCATTTACTCTAGTCGCAAAATCATTTGCCAAATGTTGTCTTTAAATAAATCAAGTTATAAAAATGTTCGCGCTGTTTTTTTCTTTTTTTGTTGATTTTGTTCTTGGCTCATGGTTGAGCGTTAATAAATTACCACCCACACTTTGCTTTTTTATTTATTTATTCTATTATAT